TTGGATTACTTAATGCAAATTAATCAAAATATTAAGTCAAGCAAATATTGTCATAAGAAATTTGAGATCTATTTATTTTTGTCCTATTTTATTGGCAATATCACATATCTTTGAACCCGTACAACTACCCTTATATCCTTTAATGTCTACATATTATAATAAAATGCCTTCTTTGTATCTTTTTGTATATAAAAACTCCTGACTTCATATTATTTGAAGGTTAAATTTTTCTATTAATTTCAATTAATGGTTTTTTCCATTTATCCAATACCCCAAATTGACAAAGTTGATTTAACCGAAGTCCGGGAATGCATTGGTTCCTATACGAACCGTTCCAATAGTACTGCTTTTTGAAAAGGCAATTTGTTTCATCAGTAATTTCTTTTATGAGCATATTATATCAGCAGGCCCCTCGGGTGGCTCATGAACGGCGTGCTAGCTTTCTCGAGTTCGATTCTCAACCGAGATAAAAATAACGCTTTAGCTTTGTAATACAAATCGTCTCAGTTTTAGGTGTGTGATTCGTCACAGTTCGAGAAAGCTCAGGCAGAGAAAATAAGCTGGGTACGGTGATGTGATGCGAATGCATCTCCACTTTACATTGATATCGACACATGACCACGGCATTACATTGCCATCGCCACATTTTAAATAGAGCAGAGGAAATATTTCCAAAAGATGTTGAACCCCGTGGGATGTGGTGTCAAATATGTGATGTCCTTAAAGAAATATTTTGTTTTAAATATAAAAAAAATCACCATGAAAATAACATTTTAAGGTCTAAGGCAATTCAGCTGTGGACTAGATAACCACGAGGTTAGTCGGTTTTGTAATTTTTCAGCAAAATAAAAATTAAGATAAAATCAATTTGCACGAAATAGTTAACGTTTGAGATAACAACATATAAGGAGATAAAGAGATATTATGCATTTACATTTTCCATTTATTTGCAAAGAAAAACATATGTTTGCTACTTCATTTAAGGAAATATAACTATTTTCATTGCTTTGCGAGAGGGTTTAAAAATGTAAGAAAGTATATGCTGCTGGTAATGAGTGTTTTCCGACCATCAAACTGAGTCAACAGTTTTCACACAAGACCTGCGGTAGAGAAGTGTTGGTTCATTATAATACAATTAAGTTCTCTTTCCCAAACATCACTTAGGATCGTCCGTGCATGACAAGAGGCACCTGAACTAGGAGTAAAAAAAGGTTAATGGATTCAAGAGGAAGGTCAGGGTTATTGTGGGTGCATTAGTGATAGAAGAACAATGGTTCCTCGTTAGCCTTCCGCTCTCACTGATCATTTCATTTTGTTAGCTCTGCGGAATTCAAAAGTACCATGCTGTTGAAATAAGGTCTGTACGCTTCGGTATTCTTTACAATATGTCACCAAGTAAAAAGTACTTTTTAGACAGCCACGAATAAAAGTGGTTCTAGCATGCTAATAGTACAGCTTTTGCGCTAGTGCTAAAAGGGAGATGACGTTCAAGTGTTGAAATAAATCTTCGAATGCAACAAATAAAACAAAATACTTCCGTCTGACCGCATCATCTACTGACCTCAACCAGTGTCAAGACCATGTGCAATATTGGAGATGGTCTTGTCACTGCCCTCTGGAATACGAGAGTTTGGAAACGATTTTGTGACGTAAGCGCGGAAAGACCCCACAAGTGACTTGTTTCTACGTTTTGCGTACATTGCGTTTTTGTGTGACTTTGTGCTAAAAATTATAGAAATTGGAACTTCATAAGTACAATTTATTAATTGTAGTTTTTGATTAAGTGTTAAGTTGAGTTTCTTATATGTCAACAAGATATTATTCACTAAATTATTAAATACAGTTGGTTATGTATTTGTGAAGAATTTTTTGTTCAGGTGCAGTACCGTCTAAAGTAACGGACTCTGCAGTCTATTTACCAAGACCTGAAACTCCTGTTTGGGAAAATCCAGCTGATATAAAAAAGAATAAAAGAGATTGTAAACCTTGAAAAGACAATATCTGCTAGTTTGGAGACATATGCCGAGTATTATTCATCTCAATTGTTTCAACAGTTTAGATGATCTAAAGACATTGTCCCTAGAGTTTAACCCAGAGTGGACAGTGTCAATTAGAAGCGCTCCACGATATGCTTTATACCCATAAAAGACGAATCACAGCCGTAAATACTACGATCCGATAAGGTTGACGAGAAATAGTGTGTTTTGTCCATTACAGGAGTTAATTAGTTACTGTGTATTAGTATCAAGGTTCCTAAATGTTAGTGAAGTAATTTAGAAGCACATTTTCATTGTAAAGGACAGTAACAAAACAGGCATTTCAGTGGTATATGAAATACTTGTGATACCCGATACGGATTATAAAGGAGAGGGCGTATGACAGTCAAGATAAATCCACAAGTTCGTGTGTATTTATGGTTTACAGCAGACTGTCTTCATATAAAGATGTTGCACATTTTACCAGTGGACAAACTGAATGATCACTTTCAGACATTTATGTTTCTCAATTATGACAATTATGTATAGTATAATTGGTTTGAAGAACAGGTTTTGAAGTTTTTGGAGTGATATAATAATTCGGTCAACAGGACCACATAGTCAACATTAAAATATACATATGTGCAAATATGTATTGCGTAATACATGTAAATTGCAATAAACGTTTTTTGCCTATTTTTTTAAACTTCTGATTCTAATTGTATTGGTAGTTGTAGAAAAAAGTTTTCTGGTCGTCTTCTTTCGAAGAAACATATTTTCCTGAAATTAAATGAACGTATTTCTAGAAACATAAATATTTTGATTTTCGCAACCAAAATTCTTTCGTGGGACATTGTTATTCAGGAAAAAATAAATTGTGAAAACCCTCTTGCTGTGAACTTCAAGCAGCTTAGACGAGAACATCATGGGCTCATGACGAGGCAGCAATGGGCCCATGGAGCCACTTGCTCTTCATAGCTGCATGTATGGTCCTACCACAAGTTAGAGATACGAGGGCTGTTAAAAATGTACGCAGACTGACGTCATAAACCTAAATGTACTTTATGAGTTAGGGGTCCCCTTCAAAGTACTCTCTTCCCCAATACACACACTTATTCCAACGGTGTTTCCACACGTTGAAACAGTCCTGGTATGCTTGTATGTTTTTTTTGCTACGCCCTTCAGCTTCTCGCATTTGCCATAATCTCGGAAATCGTCTAAAATCCTCTTCCTTCTTCCATTGAGTTTGGGGAACAAGAAATGGTCACAAAAAGCAAGGTCAGGTGAATACGGAGGGTGGGGAAGATCAATGATTGAGTGTTTGGCCAAAAATTCACGAGTTCTGAGGGCTGAATCAGCTAGGGCCTTGTCATGATGCAAAATCCGGTCGCCAGTCCTCCACATTTCTGGCCTTCAGCGACGGATGGCGTCCCCCAGACGTTTCAGAACTCCAATATAGTAATTTTGGTTGAATGTGGTTCCTTCTGGGAGATACTCGTGGTGAACAGCATCATTAGCATTAAAAAACCTGTCAGCATCACCTTGGCCTTGGATCGAACTTAGCGAGCTTGTTTGGTTCTGGGGAACGTTTCACCCATCCACTGGAACGATTGGCCCTTCGCTTCAACGCCATAGCCATAAACGCATGATTCATCACCGGTATGATCTTTGAATCAGCTAGCCACGAGACACTCTGCCCAATAACGTTAGTTTATTCCCGACATATTTGAATTATCCTGTGTAAAAATTAACCATTAATTTCCTACCTTATTTTATTGGTTCAATGGATATTGTATTTTCATTATTTATTATTTCCATGCTCATTGTGTGTTAGTGTCAAATTCGTGTTTAGTGGTGGCGGCGAAGACTTCGTAGAGGGTAAGCTGTGAACACATTTGTCGTAGACGACAAAATAGGGTGAATGACGTTACCCGACAATGGCAATCCCGTCATTTAATGCCGAGGCAGAATTCTCGTCAGATTTGTCATGTTACGTCTTTCAAATTCACGGATTGCAATAACTAGTTTAAAATATTATCGACAACATACGTTGAAATAGGATATAGTTGGAACTTAAAACCACTATCAATTGGTGTTTTCTCTCTTCATTTTGCTTTTGTAAAAATTACACGATAGCTTTATAATACCAGCCATGTGATTGCATCATTCCATTATATAATATACACTTTTAAATATCAAAGAAAATTATAGCTATACCTACATATGTAAACCTGGAAGTTAGTACAGTATACCGAGATAAACTTGAAATATAACACGCCTATTTTACTACAACAACACTTTTTATTAGAATTGGAAAATTTATAACAATTTTTACCACCTGCCGGTAAGTAATGTTTTGTGACAATTAATGTAGCCTCAACAGACACATAACCTCCTAGTCCTAAACAACTACATTAGTTAATTCATAAAACATTTGAATTCACACTACTTAAAATTTACCATAATTTCCTACTGAATTATATTGCTACTACAGGTACTGCTTCTCCGTTATTTACAAGATTATTGTATATTACTGCAGGATTCGTTCGGTGGTTTTTCGCAATTTAAAGCAAATTGGAGGGTGGTGGCGTAATTCTCAGATTCGGATTCAGCGCATCAAAATACAAAGAGAAACATATTTCAACTCTTTGGGTCTGACAACATAACGAGGCTTGTGGTCTTCATATACGAGGACTGAGATCTTTCGTACAAATTTGTTCTAGTTTATTGATTTCATAATGGTGCAAAGAACACAAAAGCACACTATTCGAGAATTTCAATTGAAACAATTATGTTTGATTATTTTTTTGTTCATAATGGTAAGTAATTGTCATTTTAATGTCATACGAACTTCAAAATTGAACGTGAATTTTAAGATCATATTTTTCTGGCACGAAATGCAATGTAATTAACCAAAGGAAGGTAACATCTGAACCAAACATTCGATTGTGGGGCGAAAGAAGCCAACCTTGCGCAGCCGATATGCTTGTTGTGTGGTCGCAATATTTGCGTCGTCGTTGATGAATGGCGCCAGAAATACAGAGACGTAATCGTGAAGTTGATCACATTATTTACATCAAAGGAGATGTGGGTCGGTTTTGCCCTGAACGAGTTCAATCTCCTGCGGCCTTCAGACACAATTCGCTTCACGAATATCGTCCTCTTCTAAAGTTCAAGGATAGAATCAGAATCTGGCAGGTGCAGGTTTGTCGAGTGTCGAAGCGCACTCGATGAAAAGTGAGTATTAAAAATCAACCAGAGAAACAGACACGCAATCGCCGTACAAAATTTTGTCTTGTGTCAAAGATGTTAATCTTTTTTCTTGCCTATTAAGTGGCAGAACACTGGTGGGAGTAGAATTATTAACAGACGGCTCCATTGTTTTTTTTTCAATTTCTTTCGATTGATTGATGTGGCGGGTTTTCTTTCAGTTGTGATTGGATTAGTGATTCCAAGTCAGTCAATGGCTCGGGCATTAGTCCGTAAGTGTAGTTTAAGATTTTTGTGGCGGGGGGGTGTATCCGTGGAGGCGAGATCCGGCGCACTTACCGAAGGCTTGCACGGTTTTTTTTTCTCCAAACCAGGTATCTCGCGCAACAGCAAGGGCTCCATCCAGCGGGACAGGAGCTCTAAGATTCCGCTTGTCTCCGCATGTGTGGTAGAAAGTAAACGAAGTGAAAGCGCGTTAAGTAAGGGGTGAGAATAGTTAAGCAAGAGTCTGAATGGCGACAAGATATGTAGCTCTAACGTTGAAATCCTGCACCGGTGAGACTGAACCCTAGGTCCTCCGTTCAGAGGCGCTTGACAGTGACATCAATTGATGCCCTGAGCCACATAATCCGGAGAGCGACGTCTTTAATACAGTTCAGTGAATGCCGGAGCGGATCCTAAGTTGGCGACGGGATCTCATATTCAAAGGGAAGGAACAAATGCACCAGGGGATATAACACACACTACACCTACGGGCCACATAATTACAAACATTGAACCGGCCATAAACACTAAATAATCAATCAATCCTTACTCCTCCTCCACAGGCCATCCATACTCTAGCTCTCTAACAGGCTAGCAGTCCCCGCGCCATCCCCGCCCCCCAACCTCGGTATTTATACAGCTTTTTGTCTAGAAATTCCAGAATTTGGTTTTTTCTCGCAGAATCTGGGGGGTAGTTTTGATTTAGTTTGCTTAAGGGTTTCTGATAATTCAACAACCCATTTTCAATTTTATTGCACTTTTATTTCTGTATACATACATATAATTTAAATTTAAATTGTTTATCATAGCTTACATTTTCTTGTAATATTTTAGATCTTGCGACAATCGTTACGCAAAATCGCGTACTGTAGATATTACATCATTCGAGTACAAGATAAGGTGTGTCTTATTTATTATGCGGATATATCAACCTCTACAACAAAGTATTAAAGAGACGAGTACATTTTGTGTAGGGAAAATAATTTGGAAGACACGTACACTGGAGGCTGTTTGAGGCGTGCTGTATAAGGGCCCTATACTAAAGCAGCAGTTCTCCGACGCCCTTGAGTGAGTGACTGCGCGGCAAAGGTCAAAGCGATGGCGGAAATTGCAAACGAGCCGAAGGCTCTCGCAACGAACCCCCTGTTACGCCTTCAAGGCCCCCTGGTACGCTGCCACAGCGCCTGTTCCCCGCAGCGCCATGGCCTCCCCCCCGGGGCGCGCCTCGGGCGGTTGGTTACCCGCCCCGCCGCCAGACAGCGCAACGCCATTATCCTTACACCCTTCCGTCCCTGGCTTCTCGCGGCGTCTTTGGGATCTCGACGTAACAGTTGGAGAAACGACTGAACTATTGCGCGAGCTATCAAGACGGCGACCCAATATGGTCGCAGTCAGTAGCCCTGCTTACTATAAACGCTATTCTTCTATCAGCACCTCACAGGAGGATGCATTTTTAAAATAAAGTCGAGTTCAACCAATCTGCGAAAGAACTGTTAAATTCAGATTGTGTTAGCCAAAACAGGAGTTTAACTATTTAGTCTGCAGCATTATCAAATCAAATGTATCTAGTTTGCGTTTGCAAATAGTTTGTACTGTACAGGAGCGACAATTCCTTGTAATCATATGTTCTTTACTTGTTTATTTAACGACGAAAAACTATTAATAAACTGTGTAACGTACTACAGAGAGAAGTGACATCTCCGCACGGTTTCTTGAGCTCTGGGATCCATATCCTGCCTCATACACAAGTTTAATATTATGCATACAGGTAGAAACGAGCGTTTGGGCAAGAATTGGTGAGAAAAAATCGTTCTAGAGCAATAAAAACTCTTGGCAAAAATAAATCTGCAACCAATTTTGGCATTATTCCATCGTAAAGGAATCGTCTTTCTTTTACTCATTAATTTGTGATCAAAAGTAGTAAAACTGTATGTGGCATATGGGGAAAAGTATAATACGTTCACGGTTTCTTGAGCTCCAGAATTTCTACCTCTTTGTTTTACTTTCATGATTGAATTTTGAATGGACCGATTAAGATTTACGAAGGTACCAACAAGCGTGGTTAGCATTTTTTAAAACTAGACTTTCTTCTCGTGTATGTATTGCATGCAAAAGATGCACTTTATTCAAATTATTCATAATTTGCCACCCAGGGGCTTGAAAATATCTTATTCTAGGTACCTTGGGCGATGTCAATTACATTTTCAGGTTCAAAATTCGCGCAAATTGGGGCGAAAACATGTAGTTGGCGCTATCTTGCGCCGTATTTCACTACTACTTAAGCAGTACTACCAACCTACGCTTCGTCACACGCATTCCATGTTCTTTGGTTACGAGCAGAGGGTTGAACACATACCCTAATATACTAATATACTCTCTGGTTGAACATGCATGCGCTGTGCATGCGTGTTCTCGTATCTTGTGGTCACTTGTGGTTGCTCGAGTAGGCTGCTGTAACCGCGCGGTTCCGGTAACCGTGTACTAGTCTTATTTTAATTAATCAGATGTTACTTCACTTACACTGTTTTTGAACTCGTAACAGAAGTAAGTTTGCCAAGATGCATTAGAATTTAGTGTACTTAAGTATCCTCTGTATTATGGACTGTCGTGTCATACGTAACCTCAATTGTAATGCACTAAGATGATCATAATAAATGATTGACAGTGTTAATTGTTACACATGATTTATTACTTTCATTATTAACATGAATATTACAGTGAGTGACTGTTTCAGGATGACTGACGAACCCAATGCAAAGTAACACATGTCATTTTATTCTGTATAATGATTCATAGTACTTTATGTCCGATATTATGGAGATTGCCCCACATACTACCTCGTGCGAGCCATGCACTACTTCTTCGAACTGATCTTGTGAGTACTTAATAATTGTATATGTATTTTGTGTGTGTTATTTACTATGTTGAATGACACTACAGATCATTTTCAGTATTCCACCAAAGCAACACCTACAAGGAAACCTCAAATATTAGCAAAACCAATTGATGTGGGAACTTTAACAAATGAAATTCCTCGACATGGTTCACAATTCAGTGAATTGGAGCCAGTGTCCATCATTGAACCTGTGGCGTCTACGAAAACATCAAAGAAGAAAAAGACAAGAGATGATGACTGGAGAGAGATGACACTTGATGTTAAGAAGTTACCCCAGTACTACCTAATGCTTTCAAAAAGCAGATTAACATGTATGTATGAAATTCAGTTGACTTTTTTAGTTAAAAATTTCTTACATTACAATTATTTTTGTGCTGTTAATAACAAAATTTTTGCAACATAATCTAAGAAAATATTAATTTAGCAAACTATTTGGTGATAAAGAAAAACATGATCATTTTGAGGACTTTTTTGTATTTATAGCATTTATTTCTGATGCAATTTTTTGTAATATTCTACAAGCACTAATAAGAATGATAAAAATTATATTGACAGTCTTTTGGGATAGCATCATTGTATGTGTTTCATGGCATATTAAACTAAAACTGAAGTGCTAGGAATGCATTTATTACAAATGAAGTAATAAAAGTAAACATATTACTTTGGTACTCTTTCTTATTGTTGTGCTTTAGCTCTTGTGGTTATGACGTCAATGGCAGGATATTCACTGGCTCCTGCACCGTTTGATCTGTCGACATTGCTCTTGTGTTCTGTTGGGACTGGCCTGGTGTCATGTGCAGCCAATGCAACGAACCAGTTTTTTGAGGTTCCATTTGATTCTCAAATGGCTCGCACACGCAACCGTGTGTTAGTTAAGGGGATGTTGACGTAAGTGGACTTGCAGGAATTGGCAGAGTTAAATGTAATAACGTTCATTTTTAGTATATGTTTTTATTCTTAACATCCATTTCATTTTTCAGACCTTTGCATGCAGTTTCATTTGCTGCAGTATGTGCAACCACAGGCTTGTCAATTTTATACTTTGGTATAAATGGATTAACTGCAACACTAGGAGCTACTAATTTAATTTTGTACACCATAGTATATACCCCAATGAAACGATTCAGTATTTTGAACACTTGGGTTGGTGCAATAGGTAAGTACAGCAGTATTTCGTTTTATAAATTATTTGTAATTGGTTACTTGCCTTGTTATGTGTAGAAATGTACTACAATGAAGTGGTGCTAACATTTTAATTTTATAATAATGAAGTTAGATCTAGACGCTTATCAGAAGTATCATATTTGATGGTATTTAACATATTTGAAAATCGGTCATTATTTCAAACCAGGTTTCCATTTTTTCCATCCCCAAAACACACAAGTTTAAATTAAACACTTACACAAAATACCCACTTAAATGTTTTAAATGGTTTTTAAATAATTTGTTATAAAATAACAAAACCTACAACACTGTGTTTTAGAATATCTATAATAATCCAAAATTAATCCCAACGAACTTATTCAAACAAGTATAAAAACAATAATAAGTAGTACAAAATAAAGAAAACTCACAGTGAAATACAAACTACATTTGCCATTATTCAAATCACCAATTTAATCACAGCAAATAAATTCAAAAACTACCAGCATACAAAATAAACTTGGCAGTAAAAGGCAAACTTTATTTCACAAATGCTTAAATGCTTCTTCTTCTTGTCATTTTCTTAGCGCTATTTCGGTCCTTCTACCTAATCATCTTCTCCTGATCTTCCTGTTCTTCCAGAATCAGGAGGTAATTTCCACTTCTCGATTATCTTCTGATCTGGTCGTTTCCATCCCTGGTCTTGGTCTCTCATTTTCTCCTTTCGCTTGGTTGCCACATCTTTCTGGAAGTCTTCTCCGTCCATTCGCTGTTCATGTCCAAACCAAGTGAGTTGTTTCTTTTTAATTTCCTCCATAATATCATGTTGCCGATTCATTATTTCCTTAACCTGTTCATTCCTAAATCTTTCCCTTCTAGATAATGCTGCAGTTATTCTGAGGAAATCCATTTCCAAAGCTCAATTTTTGTTTCTGTTGTTCTGGAAGCTTCCATATTTCCGCTCCTTACAATGTAACACTTTCAATCGCACATTTATATATTCTAATTTTGGTTTTCCTGCTTATATTTGGATCCCAGATAACTGCTTTCAGAGCTCCTAAAATGTTTCTTCCTTTAATTCACATTCCTTTCCATAAAACCCTGTTTTCCTATTGTTGTTCCAAAGTACTTCATGTCCTCTGTTCTTATTATTTCTCCAGTTTCCATAGTCAATACGTCATGTGAACTGCTTAGAGTCCAGTATACTGTTTTTTCTAGGTTGAGGCATAGTCCCCATTGCTCATAATCTTCTTTTTTCTTCCTAGACATATATTCAATATCTTCTTGTTCTTGCGCCATCAGCACCTGATCATCAGCAAACTGTAGGGTATAGAGTGGTGTATTATCATGAAGTAGTATTCCCATCCCAGCACATTTTCTTTTCCATACCTGTAACCCTGCATTAACACACATTTTAAGTAGGGTAGGTGACAAATAGCATCCTTGCCATAGTCCTTTTGATATAGAAAAAGTTTCGGTCATGTGTTTTCCAACTTTCACTTTTCCCTTTTGATCTATATACAATTTCTTCACCGCATTTATTAAGATTTTATTTACATTACTTTTATTCATAACTTCCCATAACTTTATTACTGGCACACTATCATATGCATTTGCTATATCAAGGAAGACCATATGAAGTTTTCTCCCTGTTTGCTATTTCTTTTGCATCACGTGGGACAGACAAAACAGGTTTTCTAAGCAAGATCAACCCACCCTAAAACCACTTTGTTCTTCTTCCTACTCCTTGTATCCATCTTCTATTAATTCTCTTTATATTCTTCCATATACCTTACTGAACGTGTTTGTCACTGCTATCCCTCTATAATTTTCACATATTTCTTTCCTTCCTTTCTTATATATTGGTGTTATGTAAGCCATTTTCCAGTCGTCTGGTATATCGCCCTTATTTATACACTTATTCATTAGCTTGGTCATCATTCGCACTAGTTTTGGTGTTCCATTCTTTATCAGTTCGCTTGGGATTTCTCCTGGACCTAGAGCTTTACCACTTTTCTTTGATACATCTCATAACTTTTTCTCTCTCTTTGTTTACTGTAATTTCCCTTGCCGGAGATATCTTTTTCCTTTCTGTAGTTCCAAGAAAGTCTGATCTTCCTTCATTTAATAATTTTCTAAAATACTCTTCCCATTTGCTTACAGATATACTTTGTATGCAGACTTTTTCCATTTGGGGAGATTTTATCTCTTTTATGAACTTCCAAATCTCACTTGTTTTTGTTACACCTATGTACATTTCTACTTCTTGACATTACACTCCCATGATTGCTGTTTTTCTTTTCTTATGATGTTTCTAACTATTTCATTGGATTTTATATTCCTATTTTCTTCCTTCTTGGTTCTCAAACATTGTTCATACAGTCTCTTCTTCTCTATTTCCCGCTCTAGGTCTTGAGTAATCATCATAAAGGTATTTCATCATGCGCTTCTTTAGTCACTTGATATAGACAATCTTGGTGTTCACATGTCTCCTCATTTGATCCAACTAAGTTTTCATTCAGTAAATTATCCAATCTGTTTTAAAATAAATATCTTATACTTGGTTGTGATAGACCTGCTATATTATATTTCCTACCTTCACTACTTTCATTTTTGTCTTCCTTTTGTTCTCTGATCTCCTTTTCGTTTTGTTTTATGGGTGGAAACATAATTTTGGCCTTCACTAGGTAATGGTTGGATCTACATACTGGACATCTGTGTGACCTGACATCTATTACTTTACCCGTTAAATACTGTCTAGTGATTATGTAATCGATCACCAATCTCCTTCCTCTTACTTTATCTTCCCAAGTGAACATATGCTTATCTTTATGCTGGAAGTGGCCGTTTCTAATTGTAAGTTCATGCTGTTCTCATAGTTGAATCAATCTTTTTCCATTTGAATTTTCCACCTCTTCTCCATATTGTCCAATGACTTTTGAGCTCTCAGATTTTCCCACTCTAGCATTAAAATCACCCAATAAAATAAGTTCTCTATTTAGCCCGTATTACGGATTACTCTGTCTATTTTTCAGTAAAATTCCTCTAAAATACTAGTATCTTCATTTTCATTCGGCGCATACACTCCAAGAATAGTCATTTTGTATCTAAAATTTTCCAAATTTCTTTAATCAGCCTCTCCTTTATAGTTTCCCAACTTTTAATATGGTTTCTGAATTTATTTTTTATGACTATGGAAATCCCTTTACTACTCCTCTGATCTTTTTGGTACTCCGCTCCAAATATGAACATAGGCTCCAATCTCTTCTATACCAGAGCCCTTCTTCTTTGTCTCTCTTAAACTTACAATATCCATATTTAAATCTTGAAGTTCCTTAATTACCTCGTTATCTTATTTCCCAAACTATGAGTATTCCATGTTCCAATATTCATTATCCATTTCCTTTGCCTAGTTCGTCTCCACTTACCATCTGTTTTCTCATGATCAGGTCTTACCCGTTAAAACTGGGAAATGTGATAATTGCTCATTATAATCCCAATAAGTAATTTAGACTAGGTAGTTGGCTTAATTTTGCCCCACGTCCCCACCCCCAAGAAGAAAAAAAAAGCACACATAAAAAGCTCATGGAAACCCCATAAAAAAACATTGAAGTATTTTAATATTTTTTTCAGTTTTGTCTCTTTCTCTCTCTCTCATATGTACATGTATATATATGTATATAAAAAAGTCTGGTTAGTTTAAGTATTTATAACTCAAGAACAGCTAGACCAATTTTAATTATCTCTGATTTGTTGGATTCATCTCTACCACGAATAGCTGAACATCTATTAAAATATTAGAAAAATTCACTAGATGGCGCTATAGAACAAAATAAAATATTCATGTGAAATGCAACACATGGCAGAATTTTTTGAATTTATATTATTAAATAACTCGTAAACAAAGCGTTCTATGGCATTAAAAATGTTTCTCCCTCCATAATCTGCAGGAAGAGATCTTTTTGAACATTCTTTTACATTTTTGCTGGTGGTTGGGTGGGGTGTCGAGAGAGAAAGGGCAGAACAATGTCTGCTGGGTTCTATTAATTTGAAATAAAATTAAAAACTCAATATTTTTATGTATATCCATTGAAAATTCAAATTTAATCATGACAAACCCATAAACTGTCAATAAAAGGCAAACTTAATTTCTTAGTATTGACAACTTCAGCTTCATCTCTACAAACACAACAGGCTGAGATAGTTCAGAACCAGTATTGCCATTGACTTGGAGGACTCTGATTGAGAAGTCCTAGTTTCAAGTCTCAGTGGTGTCAGTTTTCAACACTAGCTAAATAGCTAGGTCGATTTCAGCTGCTTTGCATAGGAGAATTCTAGCAGCCAGCAGCTTTCATCAGAAATCTTCTGTGGTTTCTTTGGCAAGAGCCCTATGAAACAGACCACAGACTGCACACAATCTTCCATTTTCTCATTCTTGGCCCCTTTTCTCCCCTTTCACACACACACACACGTCATTTACGTGCAGTACTGTGCATTTCAAGTTTTTAGCTTGTCTCGCTGGGGCGGTGCCCTGCAAGAGATACCTGTGTAGGGAAATTTCCCGCAACCTGAGGGTTGGCATTGGATCTCACCATCTGGAGGGGGAAACCTCTACGTCTTCGCATGACAAAAAATTCGTTACTCTAACAGGACTTACGATCATAGCGGTTGATGAGCCCAAAAGCATCCGTCACACAAATACGAAGACAATTCAAATACAAAATGATTTGACAGTAAAATGCAAACTGTTGCTAATAACTTATTCCTATATATATTCATGGCACTTACAGATCAAGTATTGATTGGTGATTGGCAATCAAGAGTTCAATACCCTGATGAAGTCGATGCTTACACACTCATCAGGAAGTCATTTGAGTTAACTCAATATTTTGTATGAATTTTGTGGCTTAATGTCCCCAGTTGACGATTTGCTCTGTAGATTTGTTAATTCTGTCAAAAATAAGTTGCATTGAAACCTGCAGTTTTTTTCTTTTAAAAAATCCCCTAAAATGTTAGTAGTAAGTTAAATTGTATAGTTTACCTTCCAACAAAGTTGTAGCCGAGTGATTTTTTGCTGATTACTTTGTCCTTCAAAATCAATTCATCCTTCCAATTGGGCAGATTTTCCTCATATCTTGTCAGTACTTTGTGTTGCTCAAAAAAGGTCTCCCTCAATTGATTTATATCTATTTAGCATTTCCAAAGATTGAATAAAAAATATTTAAAAAAATTGTGCATTAAAATTGTTCTTGTCAAGATGTATTTACTGTGGATCAAAATTAATTTTGTGACATAAAATTTTATAGTATTTAAAACGGGAAGCATTGTACAATTTGTTTAAAATTAATTGAAATTTTTATATGTTGGATCAGAGTGTGTAATATGAAAAGTACATAAATGTTTATTGATCAGTGACACCAACCCTGTCGAATTTCTATGATTTTTAAGATACAGTGGATTAAATCTATTGTATAACCAAACATATTTAATCTGCAAACAAAAGCAATGTTTTAGGTTATAAATCGCAACAAAAAAAATGGAAAAGATAGAAATTAAAATAACAAAATGCCTAAAGCAAGGATGCTTATTCTACCCTCCTTAAAAACTATTTACCAAAACATCTACAAATATGGAATGTACTGAGGTTTTGTTTTCAAAAAAAGAAGTGATCATTTATGTTTGACTCATCGATTGAACTCCTGAGGACCAGATCCTTATGTGTGTATGACCTTGTTGCCACGCCTGATAAAATAACTTGTCTTCAGAATATTCTTTGCATTTGTATTTCAAAAAGTTTGTATATCATCTTACATAAAACCTCAACGGTATTGAATTGTAGTGGGAGGGTTTTGATCAATCGTCATGCATTAAAATATGGTAGCATGAAGTAAGATATTAACTACACTCTATAGGTGAAGATGAGAAAATCCATCCTCGCATGGTTGATGGGACTAATGAAGACCAAATTTATCCCTCTGAAGTTATTTTCAGGCAATTTCCCTATTAAAAGGTTAAAATGAAAGTTTGATAAAGAGGTATGTTATTGCAGATAACAATTTCTGTGGAGAAAGGTTATGAAAGTGAGATATAATTGCAAAGAAAATTCAGTTTAACTACAGTACTATTTACCATTGTGCCTTTCCCCACACCTGTTCTACGGTGGGTATAGTAGACCAATACTCTTTCATCACTTTGGTAAATAGCATTTAGTTATTGTGTAATAATTGTGTGCTTTTGATTTGTCATTGAATTTTTTCTCAAATTAATGGAAAGGCTGCCCTGAAAAAGCAGTGTAAAACTGACTGGAAAATAAACTAAAGGACATTAATGTATAACATGTACAATGAGCATCTTGTTTCCCAACTGTGAGAAACTGAAAGTGGCATTTGGTTACAAAAAAAAACAGTTGCCTTTCTGTTGTTGATGTTACTAGCAAATGGCCCATAAAAAGAAGGCATAGTATATATTTAAAAAAACCTGTGGGCAGAATACTAAAATTTGGTTATTGATCGAGGAATAATCATTCTTGGTTACTGCTTCTCCGGGGAGCATTCGTTCGAGGGGAGACTTTCATCTAACTCGATTAGCTGCTATTCCTTCAATTTCTAGTAGTATTTTCTACTCTTCATCTCCTTGTAGACCATCCTTCCCCAAGTGCCCTTTGATCTTCCTGTAAATCATCTTGGCGGTTTCTATTCTAAAGCTTGCCTTTCTATTGCTTTGGTTTTTATCAGTGTGTTCTATCCATTTATATTTCCTCTTTCTAATCTGGAGTTCTATAGTTAATTCTCTGGTTTCTTTCACAGTACTTTCATTTCTCATTTTCATGGGCCAGTAGGCTTTAAATCATATTCGGAGATGCCTGTTTATAAAAGTATGTAATTGGGTTTGAATAGTGTTATTCGATCTCCAAGATTCTGATCCATTAATTAAGATCACCGTGACATTGATTGATAATTAATCTTTTAATAAATTTGAACTAGCCATGAGAAAAGAGTGATGCGCCAAAGCCAAATTGTGATTCATCTTCAAGAGAAATTAATTATGAATATGTGAAGATCGATGAAGACATTTTCAATAATTTGTTTTCATTTATTGGAAGTTGATGTCAGATGTGATTAATTAGTAATAGTCATTCGGTTAGCCAGTAACTTGTGCCTCTCTGAACAATTTCATATACAGTTGCCAATTTTCTTGATATGCTGTTAATGAGTTATATTGTCACATTGCTTTGGTTCTGAAACCAAAGGCCATTGTGAGAAAGCAAACAAGTCCTTTGAGGACGTCAGTGATTTATTGAACTCTTTTTCTTCTTACAGTTGGTGCTATTCCTCCTTTAATGGGTTGGGCAAGTTGTATGGACTCCCTTGGTTCTGGAGCATGGATAATGGCTGGTATATTGTATGCCTGGCAATTCCCTCACTTCAACTCCCTTTCTTGGAATCTGAGACCAGAGTATTCCAGAGCCGGCTATCGCATGATGTCTGTGACAGATCCAGGTATTTGTGTGTTGTAACCCTTGTAATCAATTTGTCTTTTTTTTCGTTGAAGAAAATTAAAAATTAATTTTGTAGTAAAATGAAATTCAGTTTGGTTAAAATTAATACTATGTTACATTATCTAAATTTTAGGTAATTTTATTTCAATACTTAATCAAACAAGTAAAATGAATCTGACATCCCTTTTAGAAATGTTGAAAGAAAAATATTTTGTTGAGTTTTGTGGGAAAATTTTGTTTGAGCTTTACTGGACTGTGTCATTTTTAATTCTATTGTTCATAAGAAATGTTAATACTTTTAAATAATTGATTGAACATTTGTTAACAACTGTTACTGAATTTTTGAAAAAAGATTGATACTCGTAGTTTAAATGTTAGGGAAAGGGATAAATAGCAATTGATCATTTATACTTTCTACCAGTGGTGGCTCCTCAGGGAAGGGAGGGAGGAAAGACCACCTCACATATTTTTTTCTCTTGAAAGTAATTCCCAAATACATGATGTTTGATATTTGAAAAACGTTTTTGAGTTGACAACTATAAAAAAATTACTTTGATAGAGTTTTAAACTACATGTACGTTTAAGCAACACAAAATCGCTCAGAGAAGGTGAGCTCATTCTCAGCTCAAGAACTGTCAGCTCATTTCTCCATCACGTTGCATTCATATGTTAAAAGCCAATAGCTTACAGCACTTCTGAGACCAGAAGAGAAAACATTTTATAATGGAGCTGTACCTGGATCACTGTTGGACGTTGGCATACAATGTAATCTCACAATGTGGAGTGGATAAAGCTCTTATGAAAGTGCAAACAGAACTGATAGGACTTTCTCTTTTGCAAGTCAATCCATGTAATCTAATTGATTTCCTTGTTTTACCTCCTTGTAAAAAAAATGCATTAGCTGCTATTGCATTTTGCAATTTTCAAGTTTTTTTGTAAAACAAAATTTTAACTGTTTGATTAAATTTTTAATTAAAAATGATAATAATTTGTGCAAAAAGTTTTTAAAAGAACCATTTGGATTAGTTTTTAGAAAAAAAGGAAAAGAAATTTTAATGTGTTTTGAATAAAATGTCCCTGCAACATCAGATTCTCCTAAAAATCATTAGAATCAATACCAGAATGCTGGTTTCCAAAAAAATGTAAGGTATAATTTAAAATATGGAACATTTCATAGATGGATAAGCAGGTTTTTTTTGGAAGAAATTAAATTAAAACTACCAACTCGTAAAAATATGAAACATATTTTTGAACCTTTATTTTGGGAGAGAACTGAATTTTTTATTGAAAACAGGCTCTAAGCTGAAACATTATAATTTGCTACATTGTTGTTTTAGTCTTTTTTCTTCTTTTCTTTTCCATGAATATAGATGATTAAAACCAGTGCTTGAACTTAGAGAAATAATTGAATTGTACATGCTCATATATTTTCAATTTTTTCTCTCTAAAAGTGGTTTCTTTTTTTAATTTAAACACTAAATTTTCTTCACTAATTTGTTAATTTTTTCTTTGGTTCATGTAGTAACTATATTTCTAATTTGTAACAAAAAAATCTCAATGTTATCTTGCATAGAACAGGAATATAATGTTTCAACTTAACAATGACAGTCACAATATCAACTTTCAAGAAAATGGCTTAAAATTTACTTAGAAAAGAAAACTTCAGTAATTGTGTCCTTCTTCTAGGTCCATATCTTCCTTTGTTCTTTTCTTCCCTTTAAAATACCATTTTCTGCTCTTTTTTTTTTTTTTGTTGTTGTTGTTGTTGTTGTTGTTGTTGTTGTTGTTGTTGTTGTGTGTTTCGTTTTTAGCTTGGATGTATTTTTATTTAGTATTTTTTCATTTCTTCAGGTTTGATAAGGGCTTCAAAATTATACAAAACAATTTTAAAAAACGGTTTTGCCATATTGAGTAGCATAGATGAATAACTTGGTTAACAACCAAAAAATGAATTTTCTGCTGCATTTCATTATTGAGGTGCTATATTACTCCTTATGTTTTGATTATTGTAGGCTTATGTCGTCGGACAACCTTGCGTTACACTGCTGGAATTTTAGCATTATCTTGTGCTGCGCCTGTTTTGGATGTTACAAATTGGTGGTTTGCTTTGGAGTCAATTCCACTTAATGCATATTTTACTTATTTGGGTGAGTATGAGATTCTGTAGTTATATACTTCCAATTAAACAAAAATATTGGCCTATGTTTTGATGCTAACGTAACTGCCACTCTAGTTGTTAACAACTGCCAGTATTTTCTGCACACATATTCACGTAATGAGAGTTTGATGTGGAAGACAGTTATAATTACTGTTGTCAGTAAATAATAGAGTAATAATAATAATAATAATAATAATAATAATAATAATAATAATATAATAATAATAACAATAATAATAATAATAATAAATTAATAATAATAATAATTAGTAATAGTAGTAATATTAGTAATAATAGTTGTAATAGTAATCGTAATAATAGTAATAACAACAATTCTTGGAAATATTTTATTTTCTTATTGCTCTATAATTTCTCTCTCAGTTTAATGTATTGTGTTTTAAGTGTGGAAAAAATGAATTATTAAAAAAAAATATTTCTAGCTCTGTGTTTGATTCTGTTGTGACCTAAATATTCATTCCTTAATTCTTTTCATTTTTTCTGTTTCTTTTTAGCTTGGCAATTTCATCAGAATTCTGACAGTGGAACATCCCGCAAATTGTTTAGATTTTCTTTGGTTCATTTACCAATTTTGATGATATTGATGCTTATCAACAAGAAAGAATGGTCATCTAAGAAGCAAGAAAATGATGGGCAAGACGGTAAATCCTGACAATAAATAAAAATTAGCTGTTTCAATTACTGAGTAATGTTGTGATATTTGTGACTTAGAGGCATATGTAGTGCTCATAGTCAGCAGATTGGTTAAATCTGCCATCACAAGTATTTGTTTTCTCATTGTGTTCCTTTTAAGTACAACTAAATGTACTTACACAATTAATTTATGACAGTGATATTTGTTTGTAAATAATTTCAGCTGACTTAGTTTTAATGTGTACAAAGCTCTTTGTGAATATTGTATATAGCACCTGGAAAAACTATTAAAGAATCTGTTTTAAAAGTTGATTATTCTAAAATTCCTTCTAGTTGTTGTAATGGGCCACACTCCAATACACTTTACTGCATTGAGTTTATATAGCCAATATTCGAACATGAAGGTTAAGCCCTTGTATGAAGATAACAATATAAAAAACTTTGTTTATAATGGTGTTATTCACCATTAAGAGTATGTTTCAAAAGGATAAGTTTGTAAAAGATGTGTTGGTTTCTTTGTCTACTGCCTAGGGTGACACTGTTGAACATGTAATAGCTGGTGCTGACCAAATAATGCAATACTATTTGATTGACAATACAAATTAAATAATTAAAAGGAGCATTTTTGAAGGCATCAGCCCGTCTGAGAATTTAGGTACCATCCATAAACCCCCCAATCTAATAACTGGTAAAAAAACATATTTTTTATTATCTTGATTCTATGAGTTTATTTTTATTTTATACTTCTTGAAAAGTTCTTGTTCCAGTTAAGAATTGTATTTCGGTAAACTAATGAATTTCTGAAAGGTTCTCAAAATGTTGTCAGGCTGAAGTACATGACAGAATAATAAGTAACAATGTGAAAATGTAATATTAAATGATAAAACAGGATATCATGATTAGGCATCATGAAATTGATGTTTGAATTAAGATATTTCATTTATAGAAAAAAACATTATAACAGAATTAGGCAATGCAAAAATGAAATTTTATGATTTTCAATGAATGATGACATGTCAGAAGGAAGTAAAAAATGATTAAGATCGTTGATGAAAGTAATTAATCATCTTCATGATTGGCATGAATACTGGGCGTTGCAATGTCTGTATATAGCAAGAGAAGCAAGTGAGCAAATTCCTTCGGTATAATGTTAAGAAGCTAACAACAAAGCTCTTTCTGGCTGAAGATCTATTGTCAGTTCTATGGCTTAATCAAAACAAATTTTGAGTTTATTGATATTACTGAACGGCCAGTGACAACGAGATGACCTGTTATTACTCGCACAACTTTTCTTGAACGATTACTTTGCTTCCCCTTCTCTGGCACAATAAAGAGTTGAAGACAAAATCTTGTAGTGAGCACTGATGGCTTCTTAACATCTTCACACACATCTTCACAGGCGGAAAATATAAACCATATCTGTTGAAGATGATATATTATGTCCATCATTTTCTACAAAAAATCTAAAGAAATGACCAAAGCAGGAGGGATACCTCAAACTCCTGAGAAAGTTAGAATGCAAATTACTGAGAAAGCTGCAAAGAAATTACCGATTCTTCAGAGATTGGCATTGCTGATAAAATCTAGTGGTGGCTGAATATGTAACTAATATCCCCACTCTATCCACGTGTCTTCAATCCATTGTTTAAGCAAAGTTGCACAAGTAATACTACATGCATCAAGACTGATTCTTTATTTTTGTGGAAGTTCTCATTACTATTGTTTTTGATTTCGAATTTAGAGGGAACATTAGATGTTACTTTTATTTCTGAGTATGTTTCTTCAACATAGTTAAAGCAAAGGGGTTCCTTTCCTCAATTGGTGCAAACATGCTTTCCATACCAAGTATATTTTGTGGAAACCGCAAAACAAATTTCTCTGGCATTTTCCATGGAACAAACATACATACAGACCGTTTTTAGTCCTTTCTGACCTGATCTAGAAATCGCAGTCAGTGAAATGAAGTAAGCTTTGCTACACATTTAAAATATCTAAGATTGTGCAAGTACAAGCTCAATCACGAAAAATGTGTATTTTCTCATATGATATAATATCCTAGATACTCCTCATATACTGCTGATCACAGAAAAAATTAAACCATTAATATATAAATCCTTTGTTTGATTCTTATAGGTGTTATGCA